TCTCCAACACATTGGTTTTTTATTTCATTGTTCTCATCCATTTCATTCCGAATTGGTCGCGGGTCACCCTCCAAAACAGCTAGTGCTTACCAGTTAAATCGCTTGGGTGCAAAGCTGGTAACGCGCGACGATACACGGTCGATGTTTTTCTCTATTACACAACCTTGTGTGACCGTTTGGAACTGTGAATAAAAGTGAAGGGAATTAGGCTTTCGCTTCGGAGTTATTTATTAGAAAACTTCAAATGAACAGTTACAGACCATTACAAAGGGAAGCGAAACTCTCAGTTGCATCATATATGTAAAACTGGATATCCATCTTCTTCTCTTGAAATTTCCTGGGTACTAATTGACTAACATTGAAATGTAAACGAATACTTCAAAGCAATTCCACAAAATCAGTAATAGATCTCACTTTTCAATGGAGGCGATGAGGATTTATGAAACTACTCGCATCCTTCATCAGTAGGATCCGCAGCTAAACACTTTCATACCTTAAAGATCGATCGCAATCCAACTGATTTTCATCTACCTCCGTTAAATGGGCCTTAGCAGCCAGTCTATTAGGCCAGTCTATTAGGCCAGTCTTTGAATGTATCATGCCACCTCCGAAGCTGAGTCCCATTTACTCTTTCCGATCCCCGATCGTCTTGAATTTTATAGACGTTCCCCCGGCGGTCGGTAATGACAAACGGACCAAACGCGACCGCAGTCTACTACTTTCAGGATTCTGATAATCCTTCCACTTAACCCTCGCGCTCACCCATGAGGAATGTTTGAGCCTGTTTACTTGACGCTTTCTGTTTCAGTCCTTTCCTAATCGACACTCAATTTTTCCCGAGCTGTTCTTCTTTCCGGAGACAAGCGGGTCGCCGGCCGAAACCCAATTTTTCAATCAAATGGAAACTGCGGATGTCGATCGTACATGGACTTGTCTGTGGTCGGCTGCATGAAATCGCAAGGAGCTAGCAAGGCCGGTTCACTTCCCAGTATCCAGAACGCAAGTCGAACACCGTGAAAATCGGGAATTTTAGAGGAAGTCAAAGATTTCCACAACCGAAGGGACAGCCTAAACCCGATTTACGTTCAGTACATTCAAGCGCCGAAAATCCACGCAAAACCCGTATTTTCCGTTCGCCTTCCTTACAAGCACAACCGGAGAATTGTAGCTACTATTGGCTTCTTCGTTTATGCCATTTTTCAACATCTCCTAATCTGACTAATGATCTCCTTCCGTAGATGAAGCAACCGCAGCTAAACACTTTCATACCTTAAAGATCGATCGCAATCCAACTGATTTTCATCTACCTCCGTTAAATGGGCCTTAGCAGCCAGTCTATTAGGCCAGTCTATTAGGCCAGTCTTTGAATGTATCATGCCACCTCCGAAGCTGAGTCCCATTTACTCTTTCCGATCCCCGATCGTCTTGAATTTTATAGACGTTCCCCCGGCGGTCGGTAATGACAAACGGACCAAACGCGACCGCAGTCTACTACTTTCAGGATTCTGATAATCCTTCCACTTAACCCTCGCGCTCACCCATGAGGAATGTTTGAGCCTGTTTACTTGACGCTTTCTGTTTCAGTCCTTTCCTAATCGACACTCAATTTTTCCCGAGCTGTTCTTCTTTCCGGAGACAAGCGGGTCGCCGGCCGAAACCCAATTTTTCAATCAAATGGAAACTGCGGATGTCGATCGTACATGGACTTGTCTGTGGTCGGCTGCATGAAATCGCAAGGAGCTAGCAAGGCCGGTTCACTTCCCAGTATCCAGAACGCAAGTCGAACACCGTGAAAATCGGGAATTTTAGAGGAAGTCAAAGATTTCCACAACCGAAGGGACAGCCTAAACCCGATTTACGTTCAGTACATTCAAGCGCCGAAAATCCACGCAAAACCCGTATTTTCCGTTCGCCTTCCTTACAAGCACAACCGGAGAATTGTAGCTACTATTGGCTTCTTCGTTTATGCCATTTTTCAACATCTCCTAATCTGACTAATGATCTCCTTCCGTAGATGAAGCAACAGCGGACGGAGGTCGTGACGTCGAAAACGTTCTTACGACAAGGGAATTTCGTGTGCACTTCACGGGCAATAGCCAGACGGACCCCCTTCTGCCGTGAACGGTTCGGTTTAATCTTTGACCACGGACTGTACTGACGGCACGTTACTGGAAATGCAGCTCACTCACTGCTGTGCTCGGATAACCTTCAATCTTGATTGCGCCGTACGTTGTCACCAGCTTTCATTCCTTCAGGCAAACCACCGAATCTGTGCTCTTGAGAAGGTTTGCGTTTAACGTTGTCTGCTCTATGTCTGGGCTGATCATCAACGCGTGCTGCACGAACTTTTTGACTCGAAGTATTGATTGTATTGACAATTCGTCAATTTTTAGTCGATATCCACCCACTACTCTCTTTGCTAGCGCGCACATTATGCATTCAAGTGGGTTCCATTAGCGCCTCAGCGATAATTCCCCTCCTGCATCAATCTAGAAAGCTCCCTGTTTTCGTCTATCTCGATAACAGCCTGTATGGTATCTTATGTCACTATGCTAGTCGCAACCCATCCTGGAAAGGAGAAGTAGTCCAAATTTTATTATGTACAGGTGTGCGGGTGTGAGGTCATTGATTCTTCCAACTGAACAGATACAGATTATTGGAAATGGGAGCACGTTTTTGCAAAAGCTAAATGTCCGTATTTTTTTCGAATACGTCTTCCTGAACTTTCCTGAATGCTCATTGGCTATCACTCAAATGTGAGCGTATCCTACAAAGCGATTCCGCAGATTCTGTAGTAGATCTCACTTTTCAATAGATGCGATGCGAATTTATGCGAAAACCACATACCGCTCGCATACCTCATCAGTAGTATTCACAGTTACACAGGTATCTGTCTTAACCCTTGTTATCAGCAACAATTATTGTATTGCAGTCATGACGACGACCAATTCCGTGAAGGCTTCGTTTCGATGGCCTAAAATCTGGGGTCGTGACGAACTGCACTCTGATGGGCTAGACCACATGGTGTTACCACAGATGATTACCGATCTTAAAGACAGTTGTAGGATGAATGTTGGGCTGTGTTCTATCCTCGATCCCACTGTTATTCAGCTTTGAAACACGAGTCTTGGGGTTGCATTGATCTTGTGGAAGCGCAGGTCGTTTAAAATACCTTACTCTCGATCATGAAGGGTTCATTTTGTTTGATTGCTCGATGGCTGGTTGGGTATCCGTTTGTCTCATACAGGGAACTCAAATCATGCCGAGTTCATACTCTTCTACTGCATCAGGTTGGCGATGGAAGCGTGTTAGCAGAGCTGAGATTACGCCACTTGTTAACATTCATGCATTTAATACAAAGGCTGTGGGATAGAATATGATTTAAGTAACAGATATTCTCCCCCCTGCATTTATTTTTATGGAAAACAAGGCGTCATTTCTGGTTAGAATTATACAGAGTTGTGTTTAAAAGAGACGCGTAAAAACCACAAGGTAATACACATATTGTTTGGTCAGCTGACAGTGTCATTTGAACGTGCATGCCTGTATACAGCAAACATCCATCTTGCTCTCACATTTTCTGGGTGTGTGAGACAGTTGACTAGCTCTGATACACAGACGCAGAAGGACTCGTCGCATCCCGGTCAGTTGGGTGCTCGTTTATTTCACTCGTTTTACGTGTGAAATTAACAACGCATTTGCGACGCCATATGCGACGTCCTGCGTACTTTTTACAATGGGAGATAAATTGTGGTTCAGCCTCACTGGCAGTACTAACCCTCATCCAATCATAAAGCAGTATCGGTGCATGTGGCTGAATTGACTGGATAGGTTTATGTATACAGAAAACTTTTAATCGGTCAATTCTCATGATTGTGCAAACTTCGCTCAGATTGGTTGCTCACTACCTGGAGCAACACGTGCACCGATGAGCACAAAAACGAGAAAGTTGACGTTGTACACCACTGAGATTTCCGGACCCGTCAAATGAAGGACGCAACATTGGTTTCAGTAGCTTTGTTCGCTCTGGCCACCCATGCTTTCCAGTAAGTCCGGTTTAAGGAATCGTTTACCATCATCATCAGAATGGATCTATACTATCGTAACAAAGGGCGGTTTCGTGAGAAACGATATATTGCCTATGCGGACCTCTCTGTAAGCGAGGAGGTACGTCCTTGTATTTTTGCGCTACTTAAGTTTTAAGCATCACCTAGTCGCACGTATATCATTTGGCACACCTGCACAGGAATTTTGCGTCGTTCTCGATACAAGTCAGGATACCAGTTGGCTAATATCGTCAAGCGTATCTAATTTTTGGGATGGAAAACGAAAATTCGATATGGCCGCTTCACAGGCGCGCGAACAGTTTGGGGTAACCATTGGCCCAAGACGAGTGAGAGGACAGGGTGTAAAAGATATGTTTCAGGTTTGTTTTATATTAATTTATTGACCTTGCTTTAAATAGCTTGATGGACATCCAGTTGGTCGGCTGACATTCTCTATGCTTACTGCCTACAATCCAAACGCAAGAATGCCTGGTTCAGGTGATGGCTATCTGGGTTT